CACTTAAGCACACAAGTGGTTTTAGTAATGGATATATCTCAAACAAGTAACTTCCACTGGACTGCTGCTTCACTTAAAAATGTCTGCATGCTTGCCTAGGGCAGGCACTGTCTTGGTTAGGGAGCATGTGGTGCACAGTCACCAGTATCACCAGTAATCACCATACAGTCTCTGTTGTGTTGTGGAATTCTTTAGTGATCAGCAATGCAGCGACTCAGACTTCATGAATCTGACAGTGCTCAAGGATGTTAGCCTGTGCAACATGTGCATTAAGGATGTTTACAATATTGATTTCAATCCTATCCTCCAACTCCAGAGAGATCCAAAATTCCCTTATAAAGGAAATCTGTACAGACACAATGTAAATAATAACAATAATGTATACACTAAACTATACATCTATTAGCATTTTAAAGCCATGAGGTCATAGCCCTGCCGATGGATTACAAAATAGACTAGATGGGCTGCTGATTGGACTCCTTTTCTTCAGAACCTTTTTAGCGGTTATTTTTTATTAACCACTAAGTCCAATACACAGCGATGAGCCTGAGCCTAACATGGCCATGAATGAGTGCAAAGCAGGATATACCCTGCATGGGGCGCCAGTCCCATCTCCACGGGGAACAATTTAGAGACACCACTAACAGTTTTCTTCTTTCTTACGGGACTGTGAGAGGAAGCCAGGGCAACCAAACAGAAAACCCAAAGAACTGTAGGGTGAAAATAGAAGTGACATATTTAGCACACCACAGGCCAAAATTGAACCCAGGACCCTAGAACTGTGAGGCCAAAATGCAAATTGACAAACCACCGTCCTGCAGTCCTGAAAAATATTCTTCACACACAGCTTTTTGTTGTCCTGAGTCCTCTGGTAAGGTATAAGAGCTGTAATCTTTTTAAAAATGGTTTTATGTTAGCTGGATACAGCAATACCTGAAAATCAATAAAAGCTCTCGGCTGAAGAGTGAAATTCCAGTAACTCCATGCTGCTTATAAACCATGCTGGAGGGAGCAGTCAAAGACATTGATGACACCGGCAGGCCAGTGGATTTTAAACCAATTTATTATGAACATAGATGCCTCAGATTAGGCAATCTAATTAAATATGATTTAATTTGGACTTTTTTAAATTAAGGAAAGAGTACAATGAAACAGCTGGTGCTGAGATCATTATTCCCCTTGTCAGCCAAATGTTGGGCGTATTATTCCCCGTGCAGCTTTGTGTGTAGTGTTCAGTACGTTTGATGATATAAGAAGTGCAGATAATAATTAATGTTCTGTCTGAGTTACCCAGATGCCTTTTAAAGGGCCTCACTGAACTAAAGCCATTCGTTGAGGAACATCTCAATGGCATACCCCTGAGTGAAATCATTATGAGAATGTAATTGGAGTCAACACCTGGAGAGACTTCAAAGCTTTCAATCACGGAGGTAGTGAATGAATTCCAGAGCAGTGCGAATCAGAGTGTCTTGTTTAAAACTCCAACATACAGTAAGATCCAACAAGAAATGGATTCTTCTAGCATGCGTCCCATCGCACATGATATTCTGGGATTGCTCATGCTCTAGTGGAGACAGGCATGGATAATAGCACTCATGCTTAGTCATGTGCCAGCTTTTATCTGGATATCACGTCCCATCCTTCGGATGACACATAAAACCGGGGCCCTGACTCTCTGTGGTCATTAAAAAATCCCAGGGCATTTCTTGAGAAGAGTAGGGGGTCTCACCCCAGCGCCCAGGCCAATTTTCCCCAGGACTTTTACCAGTCTTGGCCTCCTAATAATCCCCATCTATGAACTGGCTTCATCACTCTATTCTCCCCACTGGTAGCTGGTGTGTGGTGAGCGTAGTGGTGCACTATGACTGCTATCACATCATCCAGGTGAGGCTTTGGGGGTGGAGGGGAGTCCCCATTACCTGTAAAGTGGTTTGAGTGGAGAGTCCAGACAATTGCTGTAGAAGTGTAAAGAATTATTATTAAAATGATTTAAGCCAATAATCAATGCAGTTATAAGATTAAAAATATAAAAAATGATTATTAGAACTGGAGTTGTGTCCTTCCTTGTTGTCTTGTAGGCTGAAGAAACTATCCAACTGAAAAACTGTCAGCAAGATGCATTTAGAGTCTAATGGATTGATCAGCAAAATGATAGACAGAGGGTGAGTTCCCACTTGATCCACACACCTCCTAACCACCATGTTTTTATTAACATAGCACAATGCTGCAGGTGTGCTGGCACTAAAGTAAGTAACTTGATAACTAAAGTACAAACAGCAATTCCCGTTAAGCAACAACAGTTCATTGAAATTTATCTTGCTGGGGCTTTTTATTCTCATAAACAAATATTTCCGTTTTCCCCAACTGTTTATATTGCTCCTTTCATTGTGCTCGTTCTCGGCATTGGAAAACATGACGCCCTCCTCCATCTAGTGGGCATTTAGTGCAATTGCAGTCTGGGGAGTTTTGCTTCCCAAGAACTATACTGTGTGTACTATATCAGGGATAGTCAACACTTTCATTCCATAACAAATCCTTGCTCCAGCTAATCCTTAATAAACAGAGTGATGTTCCACACCTGGTTTAATTAAAAATAAGGACCAATTCAGTGATTAGTTTATTGGAAGATTCAAAATGGTGGCACTGCATGGAATTGATTATCCCAATACTACACTATTCTATTTTATGGGAGTGGGACTGTCCTGTCCTTGATGAGAAATGCTGCTGACATTTTCGTGTGAAAATATTTACAACTCAAAGACGACACCACAGTTGGTCAGGGAGAGAATGAAGAGAGCTGGGAAGATGCCCAGTTCTACTGGATTGAGTGAGAGCACACAGCACTCAAAACACAGCAGCCATTACACTATGTCAGTACTAATGATTGACTTTAGTGCTTAAGACTGAGGTTTTATGTATTGTACTGTATTTAGTGCAATCCACTCCAGAAAAGAGAGGAAACAATTGATGTTAGATTCTCTAATTCTGTTGCTTTTTCAAAACAGTACAAGAAAAAGGCAGGTAAGCAAAATGTTATAACTGTTGTAACTAAAGCAAACAGGTACCCTAGCAAATTCTTTAAGCAAAGAAATAGAACCCTAATATTACCTCAACTGTCTTTTAATAGTTTTAATCGTCTTCTGAATTTGGTCTTACATTTATCATGAAAACACCTTTTAGGTGAAGTATGAATATAAGAATGCAAGATTAATGTCACTTAATGTTTTCTTCCTTCTAATCTTGTTTCTAATGAAAACATTAGAAGTACAGATGATTTGAATGTTAGGGTGGTAAATGGCTACATCCCCAAAAAACTGATTATGCAGGATGAATGGCTCCATATTGAGATCGATATTCCATTTGATAGAAAGGTAGGGGACACTTTCTTGCTATATTAGAAATCCTGACCTTGATCTTTTAATCAGCCTCATAAATCTGTGCAGAGAAATGTGTCTTAGAACAGAAAAGGACTTTGACTTGGATGAAGCACGAGTAACTGTTATTGCTTATTAAAGTTTGGCAAAGCAACAGAGCTTATGTTTATAGACTGGCAATATCAGAATATTTTAAACTATGTGATGTACTGTACCTATGTGAAAATAAAGTATGAACTATTCTATTTTTCCTGTTGGTATGAATGATAGGAACCACCTGGAAGTTATTGATTTCTTCAAACCATTCAAACCAAACCGCTTCATCTACAGTAATTCAGGGTCATGGGGGAGCTTGAGCCTATCCCGGTAAGCAACAGACACAAGGCAGGATACACCCAGGACGGGATGCCAGTCCATTGCAGGACACACACACTCAAACACAGTCCAGGGACAATTTCTCCAGGAGAAATACAGACTCCAGACAGCAGGCCAGGAACTGAGTCCATGGCCTCACCATTATAACACAGCCATGCTAGTCACTGCTCCACCACCCCACCCTTGTT